TGGAGGGATGGGTACTCGATCATTGTATAATTGAAACCCAAGCACAAAAATGTGTAAGTCTGCAACTGCACCTCATGATGTCTCACTATTAAAAATTAAAAACAAAACAAAACAAAAAAGTCTCCCAGCTGAATCCGATGAGCACCCTGGCGCAGAGCTCCTTTTATAGAGCGAGTCTGCAGAAGACGCCTCAAGCAAGAAAAATCGAATCCAACCCTCTCATTACGCCGGACGAGGCGGCTCCGACCTCCTTCTGAAGTGAGCCTGCACATTCCTGCACAGCCAGTGCCAGGAGTCAGCTCTGGGACGTGCAGGCCAGAGGCCTTCCACGAGGCTCGGCAGGGCTCCACAAACAGTATTTCCATCAGTTTGATGCGCATGGAGCATTGGTCCCAAGGGTGATCAAAAAACGGCAGAAAAACGGAATTAGGAGAAAGCTAACTAGAATCTGTAATGATTTCACTGACTTATTTTTGGCTCTTACCACTGTAAGCAAAATTGCTTCTACAATTATGGAAATGACCTCAAGTTCATAAACTTTTTAACAAACCCAAGATAACTGACAGGACAAATATGGAAACTGAATTAAAAAGCAGTTCTTTTATAGCAGGGAAGATGAGTTTTCTATAAAACCACGTGACAGGCAGTTGAATTCTACTGTTAGAGTTTTGTTTATGTTATTCAGAGACTGTTATATATTTTAAGAGTATTTTTAACTGCAGGTTACTTGTCTAGAGTTTCCTTTGCTCTGTCTTCTCTCTAATAAGGAATACAAACAAACAAACAAACCCCAAAACCCCAAAACAACACACTTCTCAAATCAAAATAACTCAACTGCTCTGTAGGAAAAACAAACACTTCCCCCCGCCCCCCAAGCTCTGTGATAACCTAAATGTATTTGCTCTCACCATTTTTATTTCATGAAAAATAATTATGTGTATGAAAAATTGCATGCAAGTGAAAAATACTTTATAGAACACTTCAGGGGTCACCCCCAAGTTCCAGCTGCATCAAATTATGCCTTTTAAATCTTTAAAAAAAAATACTTGCAATGTTTTAAATGAAAAGTACACAGGATGTGCAGGCACCAAATTTTGTTTTAAAAACAAGCGTGTCTCTAGAATTTAGAGTTCCACACACACACATTCTCCCCCCTCTGGCCCCAGGCTACCTCCTGAGAGCATGCGGACGCATGTGGGAGGGCTTCATGATTTTATTCTTTTTTGAACTGTTCATTTGTTATGAATAGATATTCCAATGTGATGATTTTAAGAGGCCGGTTTCAGGCATGTGATATTGCTTAAAAAAAAAAAAGAAGAAGAAGAAAGAAAAGAAAAAAGAACGGCACTCTTTTGCATTATAAAAAAAAATTGCCACCCATCAAATCTTAAATTCTGGAAAAACTAAAGGGAATTGCATGAATTAGGTATAAATAGAGCCAAGTCAATTTAAATTTTTAAAATTTTTTAGCTTTGACACAGATTTTGAGTTACTGATGACTTGACTCTAACTCTGTTTTCTCTTTTAAGTCTCTCGACTGAAGAAATCTTAACTAATTACTGATTGGAAAAGGCGTGATCATTATGGGAAGGGGAGAAGCAATACCCAGAGTGAATAATGAAAAGAAAAATTTAAGATTACAAGCACAGAATGTTTCTACGATTCTGTGTGGCCACTTGTCTCCTATCTACATTTCCATATCTGGAGGTGCCGAGAGCAGTCACAGCAAGGAGAGCCAGACTTGACTGAGCGCCTGTGCTCTGCAGACCATTTCCAATGTTTTATTCTTATCGAGTCACTAGATCTTTATTTCAATCTTGCGAAGGAACAAAGAAAAACTGTCCCAGTGGCAGAGAGAGAATTCAAACCCAGAATGTCTGTCTGCAGAGTCTAAACCAACTGTCTTGTTTTGTTTGCATAGGTCCAAATAAACAATAATATATTTATCTATACTTCTGGAGGGGGGGGGAAGTCAAGCCCCCAATTCCTCACTGCTTTATCTGGAGAAAAAAGTTGGAAATGAATGCCCTTCTATATTCTAGGATGCCTTTTGCCATGGAAAAATATTCTAGACCGTGTGAGCCATGTGCGATATTGTGTGGCGTTTACAGCGATCCATCCATAGGGCATTTTGATAGACAGCTCTGTGTGTGAAAAAATCTCTGCTTTTCTACACCAAGCTGCTTTAATTTTGAGCCCAGGTTAAGAGACATCAGGAAACAAAAACGGACTGCCCCGGATGGCATTTCTTACCAAATCCCTTAGTTAGAATTCTAAAGCAAAGTGTTTGAAATACAAACGCAACGTGAATTCTAGAAATATTCAGAAGGTTTCGCGGACACTCTGCAGGGCAGGCCTGACGGACCATGTAAAAGCTGTTGAAAACATTTAAAGGTCTGCTCACAAACATTGTAGCTCTTATGCATTTTCGGTGATGAATTAGGTGTCCACTTGTGGAGTCAGATTTAAACAGCGATGCGTGGAATGTCGGCGTGCCTGGAAACGGACCAAGAAACACTCCCAAACAGCCAGACAAAACTTTCTCCCTGTCTCCGTGCTTAGGGGGTTGGGCTGATTACTCCAGTAGTACAGTGGAGTATTTCTGGCAAGCGTGTGAAACAGAAACCCCGGTCTGGGGGTGGGAGGCAGAGGAAGGACGGCAGGAAAAGGCTTTTCTGGTGGCTGATCCATTCTGCCGCCTGTGTCTGGAAGTCTTTGGCTTCACCAACTGACATCATGATTTTAAAACAGAAGTGGAAACAGACATATATTCTTAGTTCCTGAAGGCACTGCTTTGGTCCACAAGTCATTTTAATCCTGTTTACCTAAAATGACTCCCCTGGTCTGTCTCTTCGTCGGACTTCCAAAGGCAACCCCGCACACATCAGCTGCCGCTCTCCGGACCCTTTATTCTTGCCTTGCAGACTATGTGTCTCCCAGCACAGACCCCGGGAAGGAATGCCAATTCAGCACCGAAGAAGAGAGCAAAAACCATCTATTTCGGGGTATCTCCAGCACCACCCTTTTAGGCTTTCAAGGGGCACAGGCAGGCTTTCAAAGACTCCACTGTACATTTTCTCAGAAAATTCTACTCACGGTGCACCACACAAATCTTGGGCGGCACTGTCTTCATTTCACATGTACCAGCCAGTCTATGTTCGTTCTTCAGAGCTCCGTAAACCTCACACTGTCGTGCGGTATGTTGACACCAGCAACCACACTTGAAACGCTGCTGGCGGCACCGCCACCACCAAGGCCACCAAGAGGGGCCCGCGCTGCTGGCTGCACGCCCGGGCTGAACACACGCGCAGCCGGGAGGGGAACCCCTCTGATCCCATCTGACCAACGAGGTGCCGGAAAGAGGGGCTCCCTCCCTGAGCCACGCTGGTTCAGAGCAGGAGAGCCACATCCAGAGCCAGCTCCGGGATGAAAGGACGAGACAGCGAGGCCACACCCAGCAGTGCTCAGGGCTTCCTCCTGGCTCTGTGCTCAGCGATCACTCCTAGCGGGGCTCTGTGGGGACCTTGGGCATGAACCTGGGTTGGCTGCGTGCAAGGCGAGTGCCCTACCCACGCGACGATCTCGCTGGCAGCAGGTAGGCCGGGGTGCATAGGCAACAGAGAGCAAGGGAAATGGGCTTTCAGTTAGTCTCACGGGGGAAAGCGTCACCTGTCACAAAAATCTCCCAGGGTGATTTCTCCACTTCTTTGCTTCCACTGATTCATTTTTGAATGGAAAACATTTACCTCTGTTTGGGGATCACACCTGGTGGCGCTCTGGGTTGACTTCTCATTCATTCTGTGCTCAGGGATCACTCTGGAGGTGCTTGAGGACTGTATGTGGTGTTGGGGATAGAACGGGGGTGGTCTGCATGCAAGGCGAGTGTCCTGCCCACTGTAGCCCCCATCTCTGCTCCCATTTAGAAAGAAACAGGGCTGAGCAGGAATCTCCATGAGCAAGAGAATCTCAATGCGAAAGGGAAAAGTCAGCACCACATAAAAGGAACAAGGAGGAAGGATTCTCTTCTCTCACACCAGGGTCCTTGAGAGACCTTCCGGAACGTTCTCGTCTCAAAGGCACCCCCCCGTGCTGGCCACCACTTGCTGTCCTACACGGGAGCCTTTTCTTGATAACACACATCCCCACCCATCACCATCTAGGAGAAGTGCTCGCTGCCTGCACCCATCTGGAGTATAAGCACCGAGAGAGGCCAGGGGCTCTGCCCGGCTTTGGGTCCACGCTCTCTGAAACCTCTGCTGACTACAGAGCTGGAGTTCAGTCCCCTTGGCTGAGATGCTTCATTGAGTGGAGTGACTTTCCTCTCATAAGTGTCTCATAAAACACCTTTCTAAGCCAGCATGTTAAACAATATGGGATGTTACTTTTTTTGTGATGTCACACTGTATGGACTGGAGCGACAGCACAGCAGGTAGGGCGTTTGCCTCGCACCCGACCGACCCAGTTGAGATTCCTCCGCCCCTCTCGGAGAGCCCGGCAAGCTACCGAGAGGATCTCGCCCGCACGGCAAAGCCTGGCAAGCTCCCCTTGGCGTATTCGATGTGCCAAACACAGTAACCAACAAGGCTCACGATTTGTTGTGAGATGTTACTGGTGCCCGCTCAAGCAAATCGAAATCGATGAACAACGGGAGGACAGTGACAGTCACGCTGTATCAATTGAGAACATAGATAAGGAATGAAGAAACGATCAAGTGGGCAAAAGTGAGGCCGGCCTACCCTGCATGGCTGGTTCTCCCAGCTCCAGTTCTCAGCCAGAAAGAAGCCAAGGAGGCGATCCCAGAGAGGACGCAGAGCTGCTTACAGATTTCATTCTTGGTCTCCATGCTACCATTACCGTACTGGAGTTTTCTCTCTCCCAGTCCCAAAGATAAAAGTCTCAGCAGTTGCCCAAAGCCCATTCCTCCTGTGAATACGTTGTCCCCATCCTTCCTCACCCCCTAGATCCCTGAGAACGCCCGTCTCCTCTCCCAGTGACCTTACCTAGGCTGGCTCTGGTGAAGTCGGCGTTCCTCAGTTCCTCGGTACTGGCCGATTTCATGACGGAGTTGATGGACGAGAGGGTGCTGATGAGCTGTGAGTTGAGGGAGCCGATCTGCGAACGAGGTTCCCCGAAGGCTTCTGCCAGTTCGCTATAGTTCTGGGCCAGCAGCGTCTGCTGCTCTGCCAGGAGCTTCTGGACACGCTCGATGTAGTGATCCAAACCCGTCACCATTCCCGGCGGGGGAGGGGGCTGAGGGTCGCCGAGCCACTCTCCGACAGGCTGGTCCCCCACACCCACGCTCCTCCTGCTGGCGGTGGGCCCCACGGGCAGCGGGGGCGGCCCGCAGGCGATGGTCCTCATCTTCAGTCCCACCAGATAGTTGTCACTGACGCTTATCTGACCCACCCCTGCCTCTTTGGTCTTGGCCGCTGACGGCCTGTCGAAGCCAGCCTGGCCCGAGAGCACCGTTCCCACCCCCACGGAGCGTGTCTTCACGGCGGGGCTGACGTCCCTCACGCGGCCTTCTCCCACGGCCACCGTCCGCACCTCCGCGGCCTGGGTGCTGGTCTGCTTGTCCTGCGTGCTCAGGGCGGTGCTGGTGCAGGCCTCTCGCAGCGTGGCCGTCTCGGTGTTGGTGGCACGGTCGGCCTGGGTCGAGGCCGTGCTGGTGTGCTGGCTGGCGGTGCGGGGCACGGCCAGGACGGCCGCTTCCACCTGGCCTACGGCCTCTGTGCCCACGGCCCGGGACGTGCACGCCTGCAGGGGCCGGACGGTCACCTGCACGGAGCAGTCCCCGCAGCCGACCGAGCGCACGTCCCGGAGGTCCGGGTGGGTCTGAGGCTGTGCCAGGCCGCCGACCGGCTCCTCTGTGTTGCTGCTGGTGTCGCAGAAGCTGACTTCCACACCCACGCTCTTCTCGCAGGTCTCCAGGGCCCTCCCGGTCCCTCGGTCATGCGTTTCCACCCTCTCCTTGACGACCCAGGCGTCCATGGGCAGCGCGGGGCCCACGGCTTTGTGCTCGGAACGGTCAGGCTGGCAGGAGACGCCCACGCTGCGGGATGGCACAGAGGCGCCCACACACGCGTCAACCGTGGTGACGTGCTCCCCGGACATCTGGTCTCTGGTGGGCACCACCGCCTCCACCATCCTGCTGAAGACAAGAGGTTGGGCCTGGACGGCTTTGTCCACTTTGGTCCGGGACCCGGCGGCCTGCAGCTCGTGCTTGAGTTTCGTCATCTCCCTGTCATGCGTGGTCTCCTTCAGCTGCACCTCCAGGCGGTAGATCTTCTCCTTCAGGGCTTCGATGGTCTGCTGCTGCAGTTCGATCTCCTTGTCTGCTTCAGTTGTCACTCCCAGCATGGCCTCGGTCACGCCGACCCCCAGATCCCTCGACTCGAGGGCTGTCCCTACAGCAGCATCCCGGCGGCCCCTGGAGCCCCTGTGGTACACGACCACGTCGTCCATGGCTTCATCCGGGCCCGCGGCCACGGATCGGCACTCGGGAGCCTGGTCCTGCCCGTTCGCCCTGAGCTCCGGGGCGGCCTCGTAGCTGGTCTCCTGGATTTTCTGCTCCAGGGCCTGCATGTCTGCCGTGAGCTGCCGGAACTCCTTGATCCTCTGCGTGCTCTGCTCCACGCTCTCGATCTCCTCCTCCTCGTAGTCGATGTACAATTCCCCGCCACGCCGGCGGACCCTGGACAGCTGGTCCAGCTGGGAGGCGTTGCCGGCGCTGTAGGACCGTTTCCGCACGCCAGACGCGTCGTTCTGGGCTGCGGCTCTTTGGCTTTTCAGCTGGCAGGCCAGCTGCCTCTTCTCCTCTTGTAAGACGGAGATCTTGACCTGGAGCACGGGGATGGTTCGCACTTGCTCCTCCAGCTCCTTCAGGCGTTTCAAGGCCACGGCCATCTGCTCCCGGATGTGCTGCAGGTGCATGGGGCTCACGTTGGTCACCGGGGTGGAGATGCCTGAGCTCAGGGGGCTGTGACGCACGGAGCTCCCCATGGAGGAGGTGGTAGCAGGGGCCACGGCATAGCCCCCGTAGTCCCCGTTGCCCTGGTAGCCGTTCTGAAGCTGGTGCATGGCGGGGGGATTGTGGCTTCCAGAGCCCATATATGAGGAGAACGAGCTGGTGGAGCCCAGGCCCCCGAAACTCGCCAGCCTGGGCCTTCGGAACTCACCCGGGGCCACCTGCATGCTGATGTGCTCCTGTTCTAGTCTCCTCCGCGTCTCCATCAGCGTCTTGGTGACATGCAGGTTGTGCTTTGGGAGTTGGGGTGACGGGGGTGGCAACTGCCGGCTCTCTGGGATGGTGAGAAAAGTGGGCGAGGTCTCTAGCGGGGCCGGGAGTCTTAGGACTGGCGTGGAAGTAGCTTGGCTTCTGGCTGGTGGGAAGCCGGAGCACTGCTTGTTCTCATCGCTGTTGGAGGATGAGAGAGACTCAGTGGAGGCCCACAGCCCCGGCGGGCCGGCCGCGGCCCTCGTTTCCCGGCATGGCACAGACGGTTTCCGCCTTTTCTGGATGTTCAGTTTCTTGATGGTGTTTCCTTTCTGTATGTCATCCACGTATTTGAGGAAATCTAAGTCCAGCTGATACCCGTAGGGGGTCTCCACAAAATAAGGGTCTTTCTGCTCCTTGTCATGGTCTCCATTCAGAACTGTGTCTGCTTTACCTGCGGGGGAGACAGAAAGGGACAGTATTATTACAACGCCACGCAGCCCACGGAAAGGGCAGAACTACTAGCATCTGTGGCAAGGTGGTGTGATTTAAGAGTTGGCAGACTATGTGCTAATCCTGGACCTAACAGTTTTAACAGCTGGGTGAGTGAGTTTATAAGCTCCTCGGAAATTCAGTGTCCTCCATTATCCCCGGGAGAATGAACACAGACACATTTGTCCTCTAAAGTCTGTTAAAAGAATATAATGTAATGAGAGCCATTGTAAAGACCCAAGCACACGGCAAATCCTCAATAAATACCTCACCTTGTAAAGAGAATGCGTTGGAGACTTGAAAGCATTCAAATAAATCATTTTCCTCATCACCTACGGTCCTTCTGATACAGACAACAGCCTTAGATGCCAACTATGTTATGAACTGTATACACACAGGCACTACAAATGAATTGACTTAGACTAACACAGCTCAGATCCAGGAAGCCTGGGGTGAGAGTTTCCACACCTGCTTTTTTTTATACACACTGAGCCTCTCTCAGCGGTAGGAAAAGACAGCCCAAGGTCTGACCACTTCCACCACATCCCAATTTGCCATGACACCTTCCTTGCTGAGAAGGCTGGGACACAGGGCACATTAAATGATTAACTCAGCTGCGTGGGTGAAAGGACACGGTCAGAGGACAGACTGCGACTCTACCCTCTTGTCTTTTCACTTGAAAACCAAGCCAAACCCTGGTCAGATGGGAGGAAACATTTTCCCCACTCTGACTTCTTCTGGACACTCACTGACCCCAAGAATAGCTCGTGTGGGATCTGTGATCTGTCCAAACAGATGCAAAGGAGAATGAAAATAAGGGTAAACCTATACTCCAGACACGGGATCATGTGGCACTTGGTAAATGCTACTTCGGGCTAAACCAAACATTGAGAAAAGGAAACACAAGGGCCTTTCAAGGCAGACTAGCTGCTGACCGGGCTATGTATTCCAGTGGCAGAGCAAGGCTGCTTTTGTTTAAAATTGTAGCGATTAAGTAATGTGCTTTTCTTTTTTTTCTGAAGTTTTCTCCTTCATTTTTGCATCACACCCGGGCTTGTTCCCGACTCTCTCCACCCAGTGTCCACTCCTGGTGGGACTCAGGGGAGCTCTCACGAGGTGCCCAGATAGAACCTGGGTGAACAGCTAGCAAGGCTAGATTCCTCCCCTCTCTCTCCAGTTGCAGAAAAGTGTTTTTTTTTTTTCTAAGCATCAACCCTAACTAGAAGCTGCATTTTTGAGAGATGGAAAGGATCCACCAGCAAGGAGGACATCGGTACCTTTGCCCCCCCACCCCCCATCCTGGGCATGAACCCGCCACCTCCCCAGACCTCCTAAACAGCATCAAGGTGCTGGTTCTTGCAGATATCTGCCAGCTGGCCCGCCCTGTCCCATCCCCACCCCTCCAAGGCTGGTCACTCAAACTGTCTGCAGATCACCCATGCAGAGAGCCCCAGCCCGCTTTCCTCCGAGATGGTCAAAAGTATTAAAAAAAAAAAAAAGATCGTCACCGTGAGATACAAAGTTACAAAACTGTTCATGGTCTCGTTCCAGGCATACAATGTTCCAACACTCATCCAAAAAAAAAAAAAGATTGTCAAGCCCAGGAATAATTATTAATAATAATAATAAAAATAATAATAGTTACAATCATTTTAAAAGGTGGTGCACGCTTGGAGCCCGATTTAAAAAAAAAAAAACCCTTCCAGCTGTTACACCAGAGTGCCCGGGTTTCCCTTCCACGCGCGTGGGGAGAGAATCGTCTCGGGGAGCGGGGCTTGGGCACCCGGGGGTCGCGCGTCCGCGTCCCCCCGAGCCCCACGTGGACAACACACTCACTTCCAAATGCGCAGCCCGACCCGTCCGCGGGCCGGTCCAAGAGCCTCCGGCCCGTCCCGCACACGCCCCGCGCGCCGCTCCTCCGCGGGGGACCCCGCTGGCCGCGCGCCTCCTGCCCCCGCGCCGCCCGCCCGCGAACGCCGCGCGCCCGGCCCGGCCCGGCCCAGCCCGGCCCAGCCCGGCCCGGTCCCGGCCCAGGTCCCGCTCGCCAGCCAGCCCCGCCGGTCCCGGGAGGCCGGACGGAGCGACCTCGGCTGGGGAGGAGGGACGGAGGGAGGGAGGGAGGGGGACTCCGCGGGGCCACGCGCTGACGGTATTGGCCCGCGCGCGCACCAATGAGGACGCCCAGCGCTCCGCAGGCCCCGCCCCTCCTGGCCCGGCCCCGCCCCTCCCGTCCAGGCCCCGCCCCTCCCCGCCCCTCTCGGCCAGGCCCCGCCCCTCCCGGCCAAGCCCCGCCCCTCCCGTCCAGGCCCCGCTGGTCCCAGGAGGCCGGACAGAGCGACCTCCGCTGGGTAGGAGGGAGGGGGGGAGGGAGGAGACTCGGCCGGGCCACGCGCTGACGCTATTGGCCCGCGCGCGCACCAAAGAGAACGCCCAGCGCTCCGCCGGCCCCGCCCCTCCCGGCCCGGCCCCGCCCCTCCCGCCCAGGCCCCGCTGGTCCCAGGAGGCCGGACAGAGCGACCTCCGCTGGGTAGGAGGGAGGAGAGGGAGGGAGGAGACTCCGCCGGGCCACGCGCTAACGCTATTGGCCCGCGCGCGCACCAATGAGGACGCCCAGCGCTCCGCCGGCCCCGCCCCTCCCGGCCAGGCCCCGCCCCTCCCGTCCAGGCCCCGCCCCTCCCGCCCAGGCCCCGCTGGTCCCAGGAGGCCGGACAGAGCGACCTCCGCTGGGTAGGAGGGAGGAGAGGGAGGGAGGAGACTCCGCCAGGCCACGCGCTAACGCTATTGGCCCGCGCGCGCACCAATGAGGACGCCCAGCGCTCCGCCGGCCACGCCCCCTCAAGTCCCGGCCCCGCCCCTCCTTGCCCGGCCCCGCCCAGCCCGGCCTCGCTCGCCCGCCAGCCCCGCTGGGCAGGAGGGAGGGAGGGGGACTCCGCCGGGCCACGTGCTAGTGCTATTGGCCCGCGCGCGCACCAATGAGGACGCCCAGCGCTTCGTCGGCCACGCCCCTCCCGGCCCGGCCACGCCCCTCCCAGCTCGGCCACGCCCCCTCAAGTCCCGGCCCCGCCCCGCCCCGCCGCCGGGCGCCTGGGTCTCCGCCGCACCGCGCACCTGGCTCCGGCAAGACCCGCCGTGCCCGCGAGGACTCAGCCGAGCGAGCCACACAATCGGCCGCACAGTTCGCGGCCCGGGCCCCGGAGAACCCGCAGGCACACACCAGCCTGGCACCCGGCGCCCAACGCGGCACGCGGGCCACGCCCTTCACCTGCATCTCACCTGCGCCCGCAGGTGTCCTCGGGGACACTAAGAACGGAACCGCCTTTTTTTGCTTCTTTTTTTCCCTCCCTCCCCGGCCCAGGAATGCGGTTCAAGTGGCCGTGCACGGGCGGGCCCTGGGTTAGGTGGCCCCACGCACCCCCACCTCCAACAGCCCTCCACCCCCACCCCCCACCCCCGACACACACACACACACACACACACATGCACACACACACGCACAAACACACACACGCACACGCACACACAGGCACAAACACGGACGCACTTTTCAGAAAAAGCTAAGTATATGTTTAACGTCCTGTGCAGACTAAAGAAAAATCTCATCCTCTCCTGGCACAATCTTATTGTATTTTCTTTTGTTTGAGGGCCACACCCAGCAGAGCACTGAACTTACTCCCGGCTCTGGGCTCCAGAACCGGGCAGGAGGGGATCTGGAACCAGAGAGAGTGCTGGGGATCAAACCCGGATCCGCCCACATCGCAGGCAAGCCCCCAATGATCTCTGTAGAATCTCTCATTAAAGAGTGGCACTATTTTAATGAAAGTATTAGGTATTTCTGTGTTATGCCTAGTAGGGAGTTTTGGGGGCGACCCAACGCAGCTTAGGGTTGGGGACCCTCTCCAGCAGAGATCAGGGACCGTCTGGGTATAGATCTAATACATTTCTGAACACACACACACACACACACACACACACACACACACACAAACACACACACTTTAGCATTTCAGCAGAAAAGATTTAGTTTGTTTTATCTTAAAAGAATGTTTGAACGGTTGGTGTTGAAATATGGAGTGTACTCATGAACAACTTTATCAAAATTAATTCATTAAACATGTTTGTTTTGAATCACGGTAAGGCTTCATTCAGCATACCAGGAAACAAACGAAAATTCCCAGCAAATTCTAAAGGGCCCACTCAGTTATTTCTGGATGTCAAAAAAGGGATGGGACTTACTGACTAATCCTCCTCTGGACTCTGAATTTCTAAATGTGGGAGTCAGGAGATGTTAGAACTTGGCCATGTATGGCTTGGTTCTTTCCTAAGACTGCTTGAATCACACTTTCCTCAGGACCAGTCATCCAAACTTCACTCTCCAGCAACTAAAATAACACTGTAGCACTGTCCTCCCGTTGTTCATCGATTTGCTCAAGCGGGCACCAGTAACGTCTCCATTGTGAGACTTGTTACTGTTTTTGGCATGTTATCTACGTCAGGGGTAGCTTGCCAGGCTTTGCCGTGCGGGCGGGAGACTCTCGGTAGCTTGCCGGGCTCTCCGAGAGGGGCAGAGGAATCGAACCCGGGTCAGTCGCGCGCAGGGTAAACGCCCTACCCGCTGTGCTATGCTCCAGCGACTAAAACAGGCACCTGTATTCCCAAAGAGTCACTTTTACTAACAACTGTTCACAGCGTAAGTTATTCTACAGTTGAGTTCAAGTGTCATTACTGTTCATCTCCTCCTGCTCGGGGCTCTGGCTGTTTCCACAGATACATGTATTGTCCCTCTACTTAGAATGCCTCTTGAGAGCAACAGACTTAACTCTTAAGCGTTCCTCCACTGCTGTCACTGCCTGGCCACACACATCAGTTAGGGTGTTGGGAAGGAAGATGACTAAAATGTCCAGGGAAGGAATAACTGACTCTATGGAACAGCATAATGAACTTCAGAAAATATCTGAATCCTCT